CCGTCTAAATTTCAAATTGTTTAGACAATATACGCATTGACTTTCGATACCATATTTAAAACATAGACATGCAATACATTATTTAATTTTGTTTGTCAACCGCTGTGTATTTTGCTTTTCAGTGTGAATTTATACAAACAGGAGAAACTTTTGTAAATGCAGGATCATATTTTTTAATGATGCTTTTTAGACACTGATCTGAAAGATAAATGTTTGTGTTAGAAGCAGCTTTGCTGGATTTGTTTTTAACTTGATGAAACATGGTGTGAAACCTTTTTCTTAATTCAGTATTTGTACAGGTTTTAACTGCGCTGACTTTCTGGAAAATGTAGGCCAACTTGTGAAATGAGAGCGTGCTCCTGTTACGGCCAGGCTGTGGGTGTGGACTCATGCAGACACCGGGGGAGGCAAAACGGGCGTGAACACAGTGCTTTATTTACAGTGCCTAGTTAACGTACAAAGCAGGAAACTATGAATGCTATGAACTGTGGAAGCTATGAACTGAGAACTATGAGGCCAAACTGTGAACATGAAACTCTGAGTGCTATGACTAGATGCAAGATTTCATGGATGGATCCTGGGAATGGAAAAAGGGGCAGCTGCTTGGATGGAGGTACGCAGTCACTATAATGAGAGGAGACAAGTAGTCAGTGGCAGTCTAGTGAATCACAGCTGAAGGATTAGACTATGGAGGTTAGGGCTTACGCGTTGCAGGTTACAGTGTCATGCAAGGAGGGGGTGTCCAAGGGGTTCCGGGTGAGGAGTGTCCAGAGAGGATCCAGAATATACTTTGAGTGAGGGACTTGGCAGGGAGGCAGGCAGGTGTAGTCCGATGATGGAAAGGAAGCAACCAGATGACAGAACCAGCGTCCAGGCGGAGATGTGAGTAGTTTAGCTCAGGAAGTGCGACTGCCAGGTGGGTCGTGAGTTAGCAGAAGATCTGGCAGAGGTCTGTTGTGAATGCTGGTCTTATATGCTCTGCTGATAAAGCTGATTTTTTATGGATCTTAATGTTTAGAGACAATAGCGAGGCACTGACCTGTGTGTTTCTTTAAACTGTAGATGTTTAATTCTAAGGCTACATATGATTTATGAGTCTGCTTGGCATATGCTGTGTATAAAGGCTCTGGAACTTTGCAAAATGACGTAGAGGCGGCTTTCGCGTGATTAATTGATTACAATTTCAGTTTCTGGGATGTTTTCAGTTTTCCCGTCCTGTGTCTATGAACAGTACGGTTGGTGCAAGTTTTTTTATTTGTGAAACTGAGCGTGGTTGTGGACAATTCCGACTGCATTGTTTGATTTGAGTTTTGTGTTGGATCCCTCTCTTTAATTGTTAATTCTCTGCGAGCAGTGAAGACCAAAACTAGGACTTACAAGTTTTGCCGTGCCCCAGTGGCCAGTGCGAGGTTGTGCCGCAGATCCCAGCTGAGGGTCCAGCCGGCCGGTGGGAAGACCGGTTGATGTCTGGACGTGCGACTTTGGGTAGCAAAGTTGCTACCCGCACAGAACGTTTTTGACAGTCGGGCGTTGCTTATGCAAAAGAGAAAAGCAACAATACAGCGTGTTTCTCTGCTCCAAGACATCCACGGCTCTTTCACACGGTAAGCATGTCTGCGCTTCATAAATGTCTGTCTGCCAGCGTTAATTATTCAAACCGTGTTTAAAACGTGATTCATTTGTTTTCCAAAAACATTTCCTCTAAATTTGCAAAGTTACTGATTTAAAAATATATATTTTCAAGTTTTTATCTGGATATCAAGCATATAGGTCAAATATATCTCAAATATATGATCGTTTTGAGCATATTTATATAGCAAAAAAAATCACAATGGCATAACCATGTTAAATAAAAGATGCCCAAGTGTGCACCAATGCACTCTAATGCATGCCTTTGAACTGTATGTTTTTAAGTGCATGAAGTGTACCTCTAGCTCTATAGCTGAAACCAGTCTGTATCCAGAATTTGTGGATCTACTGATTTGTTTTAATGTGGCACCTTTTTTCCCCACAAACTGCAGACGGTGAAATCCTCTTTATTTGATAAAGTGCCCGTAAACTATTCTTGCTCATACTTACTTTGTTCCCCGGCTACTTCTTTACTATGTCAGTAAACCATTTGAACAAGAAAGGTATCGTAGATTTAAAGGCAAAAAACTGGAATGACTTTTATGCAACTGTACATATTAATTCCAACAAAGAGTGAAAATCTGCAGCAATCCTTTGTATTAATGGTGTGTGTGTGTGTGTGTGTGTGTGTGTGTGTGTGTGTGTGTGTGTGTGTTCACAGAAGGAAGATCGTGGCAGGAGCTTTTTTTTTAATGCATTTCCAGAAGAAGTGTAGTTCATACATTGGAATAAATGTCTTCTTTTCGATACTTTATAAACACGAAACTAAAGATTTTCAGTCCATGCACATTGTGAAACAAGAAACTAAATATTTGTGTCACAAATGATTTCTATAAAAGCAGGTTGTTTATGGGGATCATGTGACAAATCTATTGTGGTCACAATTAATGATCAATGGTGATTGAAGAGGAAGCTTGAACCCTAACTCTGGACATTTTCATGACAAGTGACAGCGCAGACATCTGCTAACGAGAGAACATGTTTTTTGTTCACCCCAAATTTGACAGAACCCTCAGACATCCAGAGCTAACTAACTAACAATGTGGAGCAATCTCAATGTATTTAACAGCTTTTTCCCCCCTAAACACGATCAGGTGACTGAGACAAATGCCTGTAGTCATCAACTTTGGTCAATGTGAACGTTGAAGGAGATTTGTTCCATAGACACCTTACACTAGTGTTTCCTACACTTAATCCAACACTGCTGTGTTCTATTTAAACCCAGATTCCTTTTATAGTTTGCAGTGAAATTTCTTAAACCACTGCTTAACGGGCCAGAAGTACAAGTCACTCTTTACTAACACATAGTAGAAAATTTTACTGCCAGACAACAAAGCTAACAGTCTCACATGCTCTTTAGATTTTTACCCTTTTCTCCCCAGTATCACAACAGTATGACTCCCAAAGTACGGCTCAATAAACAAACAAAGACTCTAAAGTCAGGACAGAAAGAGACAGTTGGAAGATTAATGATTGGGTTTTTATGATGCGTGGTAAATGACACCGTCCTCTTCTTCTTCTCTGTGTTGTTGTTCTTGTGTGTGTGTGTGTGTGTGTGTGTGTGTGTTTGTGTACAGAGAGACAGCCAGGTTCATAATGGATATAAGGAAGTTTTTTCAAAAAAAGGAGCCACATTCAGGTAAAAGTGTAAGATCAAATGATCCGTCAATCAAGAATAATGTTGGATCAGTGTTTCAATATTTATCTTTTATTAGATGTACACGCACAAAAATTTACTCACACAATCTGGAAGTTGTGTTCCCCCTATATTTAAGCTGCTATACAGAAACTGCATTTTTGACCCTCTTTAACAACATTCCAACATAACATTATCATTGATTGGGGAGATTAAAATTAATAATATATTTTTATGTGTTTCAGCCACAACTCTACTAAAACCTCAGCCAGTAATAGGTAGGTCAACCTTTGGACCTCCTAGTTGTCTGTATGATAGCCGCAGTACGTGCACCACATTTGCACACTATCAGAAAGTGCCCCGGTGGAGTGAGGAGCTGTAAAGAGAAGCAGTTTATATTCTAAAAATGTTTTAAACTTATAATCTTACAACACAAAATTAGTATTATTAAATTAGTAAAATTAGTATCTGCAGTAAAGATCTTTTCATACATTCTATACATTTTACTATAGGCAAAGTTGCCTCAATTTTTATAATTTTTTATTAATATTTTGCACATTTGTACATTTCATGGACTCTTCTATTTTGGAGTGTATTTTTTTAATGTATCTGTATTATATTATAAAATACACATTAAAAGTGAATCTCTGTCCAAAAAATGCAGTCAGTTTACTTTTTATTCACTATGAGCATCATTCATTATTCTCCCCCAGTAATTAAGGTTAGGATATGTATTTTTTTTTATTCCAACACATTCTTCTTTTGCAGCATTTAAATAACCTTGATCAGATTTGATGGTTTTGTTACAGACTTTCACAAATGTGGGGATTAAATTGTGTTAAAATGTACAAAACAGTGATTTCATGTTTTGTGAAAAGGACTCGGGCACAGAGAGACTGCAGTAGTACAGAGGGCTGGATTTAAATGCAAGTTCATCGGGAAAGTGAAGAAATGGGCAGAATCAGAAAAAGAGCAGAATCTAGATGCATTTCACTGATACGGACCTGAGTGCAGAATCTGTAAAATGACACCCATTTTTATTTTCACTCACTTTCCAGTGAATAGGACAAAAGACCTTAAACCACATGACCTTAGTAGTAGCAAATGCATAAAAATTAGACTTTTATGAAAACGCTGAATACAAATACAAATTTTTTCTGTTCAGGAATGCAAGTAATTAACTGCAATTGGACAAAATAATAACAATAATAATAATAATAATAATAATGTACTTTAGTTTGTTTGGTCTTTTTTATAAATGGTAATTTTCAGAATTCATTAATAACAATAATTATATTTTAACATTAAGAACATCATTTTAGTTAAATAGCTTGTGTATCTGGTGGATTAACCATTAAACCAATATAAAAAATAATTTTGGTAGTTACCAAGACATTAAACTGGGGCGGTTTTGCTCCTTAAACATACAACTCATGACACTGTACGTTAATATTGTATTTCCTGGCCTCTGCTCCATTCAGCAATTTAGACAGAGCATCAGTATTAATGACACAGAGATCATTTCCCTTCAGGAGAACTCCCCAGATCCCGCAGAGCTGCTGAATGACTCCCCCTCGTCATCAGTCAACCTCCATTTACCCCGAGCCGTATTTCGTCCAACCACATTTGAAGAATGGCCGCACCCCGAGAGGAAAACGCATTTCAGCACCGGACAAGTTGATATAAAGAGAGCTTTTACCCATGAGGGCATAAATCACAGCAGGAGACCCAAAGCTGGTTTAAAATATCATTATTATTATTTATGGTACTTTTTCCTCAGATGAGTGTTTTTGCAGTTATAAAACAGGCCTTTTCAGTAATGCATGTTACAAAAAGAGACAAAAAATGGTTTGTATTAAATCAAAATGACAGATGGAAACATGAACAGAAGAATTATTCTCTTTCTCAGGTCCAATAAGCAACTTTCTGTCCCTCTCCTTTCAAATCAGTACATTTCCAGTCAATTTATAGAGCAGGAATACATTTAATATGTACAAAACATGGGAGTAACACAGTTTTGAGTTTAACTGGACATCTTAAGAAAATGAAATGATAATGGAATAAAATGTAGGTTTGTTCTTTGTTTCAGTTGATCAATAATTACATGATCAAACAGATTGGACCAAAGCGTTTCAGAGCCGTTTCATTTCCCTTCAGCATCACTTTCCTTAGAAATCTTTGGAATGGGGTTTGCTCTTCTAGTTTTGAATTTGTATTTATTCAGACAGGCAGGTCTGGACTCCTTTCTGAGGTTTAGGCCAGCAGAAAAAGCTTGGATTTGGATTTTGGCAACAAATCCCAAATTACAAGACAGAAGTTGTTTTAAAGTTTAATGGAGGGTTGTAACAATAAACAATTAACTAGAAGTTCTTCTCTCTTTCAGGAAAGCTGAATTCTCTCCATTTTGTCAACAAAAACCACAAAATTCAGTTTTAAAACGGGCTGTATCTGCTCTCTAGATAAAATGTAGATGAGAAAACTGACACTACATATATCAATCTACTTCCAAGAGCATGTTAGCTTAGCTTATCTTAGCAGAAAGACTTGAAACAATGGAAAACTGCATTTTGTTTGTTTAATGTGTACAAACTGCACTTTAAAGCTCAATATTTAACACATTGTATCTAGGTTGGTTATTTATGGTTTATTTTGTGTTTTTTGTGGTTAACCTAAAAGTTATAACAAAACCAAAACAAGCTAAAACAATTATGTTAAGTAGCTAGGTCTTTACACTTTTGTTCCAGTATCAATTGTGATACTTACCTTATGTTTTTATAATAATTGGTGTTTAACATTTACTTTATGACTCACTGATTAGATTGGTTTTGTTTAATTTGAGCTGAACTTTAAAACAAGGCTAAAATAAACAACTTAAAACAATTAGCCGCTAAATCCTAAATACCAAGATGCTAGCTCCATTAGCATCAAGAGGTAGAGCTTTAAAACACTGCAGTTTTCACACTTTCAATCCTTTGTTTATGGATTAATGAACAAAATACAATGTGTTAATTATTTAATTTTGCTGGCAGAAAAAGAGTCGGGCTTGTCATCAATGCTAAACTAAGCTAACTGGCTGCTAGATGTAGCCTTATATATTCTGAAAGGGTTTGACAGGGTTTGAATCTTCTTATCAAAAATAGCCAAAATTTATACAACATTTGGGACTCGAATATAAATTTTAGGGCAAAAATGGTGGACTTAAAAACATTTTTAAAACTTTACAGTTGCTTGAACAAGCTTATTGGACAGAAAAAATGAAAAGGGATACACAAAGTTTAGTTTAACACAAACCAAACACTGGATTCATCCACTGCCAAACTATACAGTAAACTTCAACTCCTTCCGGTCTTCTTTCTCATCTTTTACAACCTATTCCAGTCATTTCAAATATCAAAACCGCTATATACATTATAAACACGCATCTTCTGTACATAACGGTCACTCCGTGGCAGAACAAGTCAGTGAAGTGTCAAACTCCACACAGTAACACATGTTTACAGCCACAGACATTACAGTAAAAAGAATATAAAGTGATATGACAATATGATGCTTAGATAAAACAGTATATGTGTTGCTGAAGGCTGTAGAAATGACATGTTTAGCTGTTAATAATCCTGCAAATGGCATTTCACAATATTGGCTTTAGTGTGGTTAAGGTAAGCACCAAAAAAATCCTTTAATTCTCTGAACCAGGAGATTTAAATACATTAAAAACAACAACAACAAAGTGAGCAGCGTCTTAGTGACACATTCAACAAGCAAAAATGTCTTTGGCAGCGTGGCGCGATACTGGTTAGAGGACAATAAATGTTACAGTACGTGGTTCATAACGTGAAGCAGAGGGTACAACATTTTCTCACGTGTCCGTTCGGTCCACGAGAAGCCGCTCACTATGAATCTTCACCAGCTGTTTCACTCACAGATCGCCCCCCATTTCCAACACTGAGCATGCTCTGTGCTCTCAGATCGCATATCCTGGAGATTAATTGTTGATATGTTTTGGTAGATCTTTAGATTTATCCATCCACTGCAGTCTGTAGTTAATGATAATAACAGTCTTTTTTTCCCCCCGTCTTTTTTCATTTTGACATCTTGGACTCGTGCCTCTCTCCTGGTCTCTGTTGTTGAGAGACCTCCATTCCTTCTCACCTACTTAGAGCCTTGCAGGGTGCTGATTCAGCTGTTTGTGTTGGACCTGAATTCTCTGCGTACAGGTCTGCTAATCCTTAAAAAAGCAGTTCGAGGTGCTAAATGTGAAGCTACATGAAGACTTCAGAAATCTGTGAGGCAGTCAGTTTTAGACAAGGAGACGATTTCGCTATCTGCAGATGGAGCCAGCCCAGTTATTTCCAAGTTAATCAGCTCCTAGCAATGGTTTCATACTTGGTCTCAAAACAAGTGATGCAGTTTTCCTTCAAAATAAGAGCGGAGGTTCACGATGAAAATTGATCAGGATGGCATCCTTTTCTCAGACAGATGAAATCGTAATCACCAAATCTCCTTTTCTTCATATCCAAGTAAAGTCTACAAAAAAACCCTTCCTTCTTCTCCGCTTTCAAGCTTTGTTGTTCCTAATATTGTCCATATCCCATCGACATGCCCATGCCCAGCCCCAGCCCCAGTCCCAGGCTCTCCCTCAGCCCCCTCAGCTGCTCTTCTCCCAGTCGGATCTTGTCCTCCAGCTGCCGCTGCTCCACCAGCAAGGCGGCCTTCATCTTCACAAAGTGGCTGCCGAAGGGAAAAACACAAAAAACCCACAGTGAATATTGTTAAGATGTTTGGGGTAGAATGTTGAGCTTTGATACTTTGATTTATGGAGTTAACATGCTTTAGTGTCTGTTACATGCTGCCCTTCAACACAAGAAAATGTATTGAGCTCAGCTTATATTTAGTGAAGATTCCCATGGTTTGCACGAGCTCAGGTGCATGCTCAGAGACAACCCCACTGAAAACCCAGGTCATAACACACATTATGCACATGAGCCAGACTTTTTAGAGATATCTGGCTTCCTGGCTTCCCTTGGCGACCTGGATACGGTCTGGCGTGATACTTTAGACCATCTCCACTGGATTTTCAAAGGTCCAGAGAGAACTCACCGGCGCTGCAGGATCTGTGACACTTTCCAGTCTCTAGATGAACCCATTCCAGAACTCCTGATTACACTCTTACAAAGTAAAGTGAGCTCTCACCAGAACTCTCCACCGGTGGGTTTGTTTATGTTGCCACACTGGGCATATATCCCACCTGTAGTCTCTGTGCTGCTCTGGAGAGAGGCAGCGGGCCAGCACGCGGCTCACAGCCTGCTCTCTGCGGTCTACGTGGTCCTTCAGGTCCTGAGCCTCGGACAGCTGCCTCATGAGCTGACGCTTTTTCTCCAGCAGGGGGAGCTGCAGTGCAGAGAGCGAGGGAGAGGGAGAATAGAGGTATTTTAAAAACAAAGCCCGATGCACTACAAGTCCACTCTGTCTACATCTGCTCTTGTCCTCGTTTCTCTCCACCCTCATCACCCTCACCCTCTCGTGGTGCTCCGTATCAGGGTCCAGTGTGTCCAGCGTGGTCTCCACCCTTAGCAGCCTCCCGGACAGCGACAGCAGCAAGCTCACCACCTTGTCCAGATCGCCGATGAACATGCGGAACTTGTCCACCTCGTTGGGCTTGCACACGGAGACCACCATGCTCTCCACCTGGGAGCAAACAGGAAGAGCAGATTTACTGTAAGTCAGTGACGTGATGGACAGAGCTGATGAAACACAGAGCTGATGCAGTGGATGTGAAACCTTACCCAGCATCAACACGCTTCTTCATTCTGCATCCATAAGATGCTATTAAAAAAATAACTGCCATGAACTTTTCAAATAAACCTGTCTGGTTTTTGTAGCCTCCTATTGGTTAGAAAATCCAACACAATGTGCTAAGTGAAGAAAAAAACCTAGCAGGCTGAACACTATTAGCTTTAAAGGTCCCCACACTCTTACACTCATATTTGCACTGTTCATTCGTGTTTCTTAAACACTTCCTTAAAAGTCTTCTCCTTTAGGGTTTGTCACAGTGGCTCATTTTCCTCCATGAAACCCTATCCTTACCATCCTCCTCTGTCACACCAACCATCTGCACGTCCTCCTTCACTATCCATAAACATTCTCGGTGGCCTTCCTCTTTTCTTAGTATTTAAACTCTACCTCCACTCCCTGCATGCTTACCTATCCACCTGCCTCCGTCTCATTCACACACATGGATTCTGTCTTGCTTCCACTGACTTTTATTCCCCTCCTCTCCAAAGCATACCTCCTCCACTCCAGGATCTCTCCCACCTGTTCACGACTCTCACTACTGATCACAGCGTCGTCTGCAAACATCACAGTCCACAGAGACTCCTGCTTGTCCTCATCAGTCAATAGAAAAAGGGGCTCAGAGCCGATCACTATTATAATCCCAGTCTGTGTGATCGTTGTGTTGGTGTTGTTCCTGGATCATCATAATATGTGTCCAGGATCAACACTGCATCTGACCAATCACACTGTTATGATGTCACAGAAAACAAAAATGCTGATGACGTACACTTAGGAGGAGAGGCTGTCCGGGTCAGGCTCAGGGCGGGGGTTAGGATGCAGTTGTGCTTAAGGGTATAGTTTGGTTAACCTTAACCCCTATCACTACAATGTGATTGGTCACTTGCAATGGTGAACCTGGACCAGAATTAGTTTTTGTTTTGTTTTGTTTTTTTATCAGGAACGACACCAACATGAGGATATCAGATCGTGCATATGATCCCACCCCCACCTTGAACCCATCTGTCACTCCTATCGCACACCTCCTCGCTGTCCTCATACATGCACCACCCTCACATACTTCTCTGCCCCTCCTGACTTCCTCATGCAGGACCACAGCTCCTCTCTCTATCATATGCTTTCTCTAGATCCACAAAGACAGTGCAGCTCCTTTTGACCTTCTCTGCACTTCTCCATCAACACAAGAAAGCAAACATCACATCTGTAGTACTCTTGAAGCCAGTGAAGGCAAACTGCCGCTCACTGATGAGCACCTCCCTTCTTAACCAAGCTTCAACAGCTCTTTCATCAGCTTCGTCTCTGTGCAGTTACTGCAGCGCTACACATCACACTTCTTCTTAGCACATTAGATCTCTTGTGTTTAACCACACAAAACCATCTAAAACAAACAGCTTTGATTTAAAAAGAAAAAGGTACTTTTCTTTTAATCTGATTGAACAAGAAAAGTACAACATGTTAATAAGTTTGTTGTTCTGTGCTGACATAATGACCAGGTGAATGAGTTCGTCCTTACCTCCTCTCCCAGCTGTGCATTGGCTCTGATGTCCTCCTGCAGTCCTCTCTGAGCCTCCCTCAGCACTCCCAGCTTCTTCCGGAGGCTCTCCATCAGCTGTTTCTACACAACAGAGGAAGAACTCCTTAAAGCCCAATAACCAGGAGCGGTCCTCTCCCTTTATCTCCACCACACCCGTTCTTCAAACAGCAGTCGCATGAATTACCTTGTAGGTCAGCTCGTCATCCTTGTCGCGCTCTCTGTTATCTGTGAAGTCCTTCATCTGCGACAGGATCTGAGCCTTGGCCGTTGATGTGCTGTAATAGGACGAACAGCTGGAGCTAGCTCCTGACCGCCTGTGGAGAAGGCACCGGCAGGGGAGTTTATGTTATTCCCACAGTGATAAAAGACAAAAAGAGGTGCAAAACAGACAAAGCTGTAAAAACACGGAGATTACAGGTGCATGTAAAAGAAGTGCAATTAATTACGTGGGTTTAATGAGGCAAGACATTAACGAGCGGCATCTCGGCACAACTCGGCTCCAAAACTGTGAAACATGAAGCCAAATGAGAGGACAGTGAAGTTTGTTTTGTTTTTTCATCACTCTGTAATGCTTAGGGGAGTTCTTTTTCAACATAATGGGTTGAAATATAAAAATAAATCCATGACTTAGAATTTCACAATTACTTTAACTACGTTTTTGGGTAACTTGACCCGCTTCCACCTATACGGCTTTGTCTGGACTACAGGTAAGCTAAAATAAATGTTTTCACCGTTAAGTCAAAGAACTTTGTCAGGGTCCAATCCAGGCCTTTGGAAAGGGTCGTACGATGTTGAAATTAAAGATAAGAAGGGTACTGTGTCCGTTCACAGAGATAACAACCTGCTCCTAAACACATTCGTAACAAAAGGTGCCGTCTTTAATTATCAGTGGGAAGTATGTGGAGGCGAGTCACAAACGTCCGGTTTCTGGGAGTTTACGTCAAGGAGGATCTGATCCCAGAAAGCACAGCAGAGACTTTACTTCCCGAGTGTCCTCAGGAGGAAGAACATCCCTCTGAGACTGTTGGTTTCCTACTTCAACTCTATAGACAGCATTTTAACATACTGCTTCCACATGGGGTTTCCTTGTTGTGTGGTGGCACAGAAAAAGGTCCAGAGGGTTATCAGTGTTATCAAGGGTTAAAATGATTGGAAACTGTGAGGACCTACACAGTTCAGACAGCCTAATATCATAATCAGATCATCACAGATCTCTCCCAGCCCGGTCAGCTCCTGTTTAATCTGTGACCATCAGGTGGGGCAGAGCAATTAAAAGGGCAAACAGACTAAAAAAATGTTTTTATGCTTTCCCCCTTTTTAAATCTGTTTTTAAATCTTATATAGTTTTATATGTTTTTTAGGACTGTTGAGATTGCATTCAAAATTGCTGTACATAACACAGTGACAATAAAGACACTTCATTAAAAAAAAGTGAAGACAAAAATGAAAAACAAATGTTTCTTTGTTGATTTTTCAGTTTTAAGATTTAAAAAAAATGAACCCGTCTGTCTATGTGGTGCTAATTACCCATCATGCACCTGTGTCTGCAACTACGAACCATCTGTAAACCTAACAGAGAAGAACCAAGTCTTTTGGAAAGGTTGTGGGAAACAGAATGAGCTTAGTGATGAGAACAGTTAAGTCTTGTACAAATCAAATGGTCTGTGTAACACACACACACACGCACACACACGCACACACACGCACACACACACACACACACACTCTTCTCTCATACCTATCCAGGCTGTCTGTGCTGTGCTCTACGGGTTGTGCTTCTCTCCAGCTCTCTGTGCCCGACTCGCCCTCACTGCTCTGGGGGAAGAGCTCCTCCAGGCTCAGCCCCTCTCTGCTGCTGCTCTCCCCACCCTCCAGCTCCTCCTCCAGGGAGCTGCTCTCCGCCCTTGTCCTGCCTGACGGCGATGCCTCAGAATCCGGGAGCGTGTCGATGTCCGTCTCCAGGACCGTGACAGGGAGGGCGAAGCACGGGAGCTCGCTTGTGATGGGAATGTCCTCTCCCGGAAGCTCCTCCTCCTGGAAGTCATCGATGTCGGTCTCTAGGGGGACGTCCAGGTCAGCCTCCAGGCTGTGCTCCGGGCTCGGGCTGAGGGTCGTCTCTGATTCGGTTCCCGTTTCAAGGATCTTCTGCTGATCTTCCATCTGGAAGCCTCTGTCCGCACGAAGTTGCTCGCAGTCGGTTCGACTGGCATATCTACCGGAAGCCTCGATGACACCTCCGTTTTCTAAAATAGGAGGGGTCGCCGTGTCGCTGTGAACCCTGGGGGCTGAAGCTCTCTCCCACTCGGCTCCAGGTCTCACGCTGGGCTGCTGTTTGTAAGGTTTGACTGTAATTTTGTTGTGGTCTGGGCTGCAGCTGACGTCCGTCGCAGATGAACTACAGAGAAACAAGAGAATTAAAATAATCTGACACATCAGTAAACCAAGCACAGGAATTAGGAGTCTATTAAAATCAGTGATGGGAATAACGGCGTTACAGTTGCACGGAAGTAGCTGTCTACGTAAGTAAACTGGGTGCTACAGCTTTAAGCAGCTGCGCGCTCCCGCGTTCAGCTATCACTTTCTGCTCGACAATCACTTTCTGGCACAACACCTGTAGCTCAGGGGACAAACAAGCGCATGAGTGCTGCTGTTTGACTGAGGAAGAATAAAGTAGTCGTGGTAAGCCAATCACACGACCACTTCAAGATGACAAAAGCAACAAGGTGACATATACCAGTTTTTAAATTGTGTTGAGAGGCCACGTAAAACCAGAGTCATGATAAACAATAAATACGCGGCGGTTTTTCCTCAATAGTTTCATCATGTTTACTGTCCAAGGACCGCGCAGCAAGCACTCTCTGCTTATGAGCAAAAACAACGACAACAAAAACAGCCCGTTCGACTTGTTGGACAAATGCACCATGTCGACCAATTAAAAAATGATATGGCAAAGTGACATTTGGTTGTTTAGGAAGAGGGGGAGGGAGAGAGAGCAGAAAAAGAG